TTTGAATCTAAGTAACAATTTGATTTAAAAAAATTTTTTTTTAAAACTTTAAAATTAGCAAGCAAACTTACAAGTCGCTGTTTTAAAGCACGAATTTTATATGCTTCATACCAACGCATATAAAATAAACTATTTGAATGGGTATTATCATGAAATTTATTTGCTTCTATTTGCCTTTTCCGTTTACTCCATTTATTTCCGGTTGGTATTATTGAATGAATTTCACCTGGACAGAACCATTCCGAATCTACAAGCGCATCCTGAAAAAAAAAATTCAAAATTTATAAACGATTTAAAAAAAAAAAATACCATATCACAAATTTATCAACTTAAATATAACCTAAAAAAAAAAAAAACAAGTAAAATGGGTTTGTTTAGCTTTTTGAAATTTGGAAATTATCATTATCATAAAATTAATTCCGGAAATGATTTTAGCTTTAAAATATGTAATATTTTTTGATAAAATTGTAAAATATGTAGTGTTTTTAGTTACAATGAATAAATCAATTCGGATTTATGATTATCATAAAATTAATTTCGGAAATGATTTTAGGTTTAAAATATGTAATATTTTTTGAAAAAAAATGTAAAGTATGATATATTTTTCCTTAATTGTAAATTGATAATACTTTCAAATTACACTTAAAACATAAAATATAGTAATTAATTAAATTCATTTATATTTCCACTAACATTTAATTCAATACTGCTTGCCAATGATGAAGCATCCACTTCTGAAGCCATCACTGCGACAAGCCTTGAAGAAAAGCTAAATTATTTAATCAGATTTTTAATCAATTTAATTAATTATGTAAAAATTTAATTATCAATTTAACAACACCTCACAAAGTATAAATTATAATTTCAAATTTTATACTTAAATTTTTTACTTAATTATGTATCATACGCATAAATCTATAACAACAATAAAAATGAATATGTGACAACAAGACAATGACAATTAAATGTAAGCACTGTCAGTTTCTTAAATTCTTAATAATTGTATTTGATATTATTTCTTTTACTAATTACTTTATTATTTTTTACATAATTAGTTACTTAAAAATATGTGTATTTGAGTTTTTAATCTTATGAGTTTTCAAAAGTTATTTTAAAATTTTTTTAAATCCATAATTTTTAAGTATTTTAGGTAATTAGTTTTAATTTTTAACTTTTTTAAGTACTTAGTAATAATTAGAAATTTTTTCAACAAATTGTAATTTTAAAGCAAAAAAAAAAAAAATTAACTGCAACTAAATTACTTCTACTCTATGTACTAATTAATTAACAAAACAGAATGTAACTTACATACTTAAGGATTGAATTGAAATAGGATAATATAAATTAATTTTAATTAATTAATTCATTCATTCATTGAAAACTAATGTTTTAGCTCTGTTACAAGTTTAATTTAAATTAATATAGCAAATAAATATTTGATATTAGAAAAAAACAAATTAATTAATCATTTTGACAAATAGTTAGTATAAAATGAGAATTAAGGATTGAAATAATCAACTAACATCAATTTTAATAATAAGTAATGTATATCAATTCATTAAGTAAATATTAAGTAATAAGTAAGAAGTAATTGTGAAAGAAGAAAGTAAGTAATGATTAGATCTACTTGAGCAACAGTAATAATAACAATAATAATGTCAAGCGTTATTGGATCAATTAAACTAACATATTTGTATGTGCAAGCAAATATGCAATTGCACTTGCGACTGCAACTGCAACTGCAGCTGCGAGTGCGGCTGCAAGAAATATTTACTATTTGGGTTACATTTTGATACAGCTCAATAAATGATTAGAAAAAGAAATCAAAGTTATACTTTTAAAATTTTTTATTAAATTTACTAAAATTTTCTTTGTACAACTCAACAAATTTATTAGCAAATATTATTTATCAAATGACAATTTTAAAATATTTTACTAAAAAAGTGTGCAAAAATAAAAATAATTCTATCATAAAGTTTTATAAAAAATTAACAACAAAAAAAAGTTATAAAAAAATTTTGAACTTTTCAGTTTTAAAATTAATACAATTAATTAATTTCATATATTTTTATTTTTGAAACTATAATGAAATAACAGAAATTTCATAGAATTGAATGTTTGTTTGTTTAGATATGATAGAGTCTATATTATTGTCCTTTATTTTTTATTGAAAGTTAAACTTTAAAATTTATTATAATTAATTTCTCGTTATAATTAACATTTAAATAAACAAAAAATTAAAAAAAAAAAATTACGAGAAAAAAAGGAATTATAGAAATTTTAGACAATTTTTCATTTATTTTCATGAAAAAAAATTAAAAATAAAGTTTAATACAATAAAAATATATAATAAAATAAAAATATAATTTTTAGCATATCACAATAAATTATATTTTTATTGTTATTTTTCATGAAAATAAAATGAAAATCAGAAATAAATATTAATTAGTAGCATAGGTGATAATTGAATATTTAATTCATTATCAATTAACAAATAGCAAATTTGCCTTTTCAAAATGATTTTTTAATTTTTAAAATTTTACAATTCCACTTTTTTTTCCTTTAAAAATTTTATCGAAGATCTTTTCATAATTTTAAAATAAAAATAAATTTTTTTGAAGCTAATTTTTACAATTATCATTCTAAATTAGCTCTTTCTAAGATTTACAATTGAGAATTAGAACTGAACAAAAATCAAAAACAAAATTAAAACTTAAAATTCAAAAATAAAATTTCAGTTATTTGTTCATGGGAATAAAGAAAAAAAATTTCCCTCTTTTAATTTAATTTTTCGATTATAATTTAATTTTATTAAATAAGCAAAAAACACTGCAATTAATTTAAATTAGCGTAAGACAGATAAAACTGAAACTGCCAAATTCCACAACCGGACCAGGTAGTTAAAGCAGAATTGGAATTGCTTGAAATTACCATTGTAATATATACGGATTTACAATCCAAAAATATTACCTCTTTTAAATCTATGTTTTCTTTTTCCAATATAAAAATCGTATTCCTGAGTTCTGCATTTTCATTTTTCAGTTCATCGTTTTCCTTTGTTAAATTTTCAGCAGCACGAATTATTGCAGCAATAATTTCACTTGCAAAATCCAAATTCTCAAGCAAAGTTGAGCTTTGATATCTTATATCTTCCTCATTGATTCGAAAATGCTGAGCCGTCCTTTTTAGCTCCCAAAATTGACAAAAATTTGATTTAAAAAACAATCTTAACATTATTTAACAGTTTTGAAACTCCACAAAACAATGAAAATTTCTCGAAAGAAGAAGCAAACCTGCATTACTTCTTCACATATTTTCTTGAAAGTATCTCCTTCTCTTTCATTATTTTCCAACTGTTTAATTTCTCGGCCATGCAAGCAATCCAACAAGCTTTTAAAGTTTTTCTCTGTATACTCATGCATTATTTTCATTTTACTCGCCATTTTTTGCATTTCATCCAAATCCTTTGACCATTTCTCATTCAATTTCTGAAATCCGATCTATAGACAATATGTTAATGAATGTACTATTGTAAATAAAACGATATTCAACATTCAAATTCACTTCCTGAAGATTTTTTTTATATAACGCAGCGTTTTTAACAAGAAGGAACAGTTTTGATTTTCTTCAGATTTTGTTTTGATAAACTCTGTCACAAAATATGAAAAATTCTGTTCATTTGTTTTTGGAAATTCTAGAATAACAAAATTTATACAAGACTTTAAACAAGATTAACCTGCATTAAACTTGAGAAACAATTCTTATTTTCAGAAAACTGAAATTCTTGTATTATCACTTCTTGCAAACCATTAAGGTTTGATTTCGCACTCGTAAATAACATCTCAAATCTGTTCTTTTCCTCCACCATTTCTACCATTATCGCTTCAAACTAAAGATTATTGATTCCTTTGTTCAACTAGAAAAATATAAAGTTATTAAAAAAAATACTTATAAGTTCGCAACAAAAGATATTAAAAAAAAAAAAAAATGAGATTTCAAAATTTCATATTTCAATTGTATAAGCGATAATTGCAAATCGTCTCCAAACCGAAATTTTGAATTCTAAATTTGGCAGGGTGACACCGTGCCGGTTGGGGTAATGTTATTCGAGATAAGGCGATGATTAATGTCTTTATCACTTATCAGTTAAATTGGTATTTCAGTTTATTCTCAGTTATCTTTCACTTCCATTCTATTTTTAATTATTTCTTCACGTCAGCAAAATTAATAAAACTTTCATTTAATCATGGTTTTAATTCAATTTAAGGTTCAAAATTAAATTAATTTCAAATTTAAATTTTGAATTTTTTAAAAATTTTAAAATTTGTAATAGTTTTTCCTCAATTATAATTCATTATTTCATCTTATAAATTCTTATCAATGTGTGATATAACAATTTCTTTGTATCTTTGTTTCCTTACCATTTTTGCATTTTTTTTTTTTTTTTAAAATATTTCCTCCAATCACCTGTACTGTTTCAAAAGATACTTTTTTTTTTTTGTTAAAATTCGAAAATTACTGGATCACATGTAACTATTGTTAATAGCAAAGGAAAAATCTAAATGTATCAGTATCAGTTCAAATTTCAGCGTTTAAAATTTGCAATGAGAAATTGAAATAATGTTGCACTTCAGTAAACTATTAATGTTTTTCTTTTAATGTTAGTATTATATGTCATTTGTGAAATTATTTTGTTTACTTTTGCCAAATTTATTTATCCTTTATTTAATGAAATAATTAATTACTTATTTCATTGGTTACAATGATAGTATTTAAATTTATAATTTGGCATTTCATATCTTTATTCCTTTTATCTTGTTAACATTTTAAAATTCTATTTTAATTTTAATTGCTTAGTACTTACTTTAGTACTCATCGTAGAAGTTAACAAAGTTTAGCAAATTTAGCATTATCATTTGATAATGAATTATATTTAGGTTGGAGCGGAACGAATGATAAAAGAGTAGCATTTGCTATCTTAATGGTTTATTGTAATTGTGATGGAACGTGTAAAAGATAAAATATTCATTCGACCAATTGTTTATGGTAATACTGCCCATTATTTGGGTAAAAAACGCGAAGAAGATGGGCATACACATGAATGGACAGTATTCGTGAAACCTTACTACAATGAAGATCCATCAAAATATATTCGAAAAGTACAATTCAAATTACACGATTCATATGCTAATGCAACACGAAGTAATTTATTTATTTATTTTTTTTTTTTTTTTTTTTTCTGTCTGAAATAACTAGCCTAATTAGATTATCACATTGTTATTATGATATTATAATTTTAGTTTGTAATCTAATTGTGTATTTTCATATGCTGAATGGCAAACTTTTAGTTTTGATTAGAATTCTACTTTTATCCAATTCTTAACGATTATAGTTTATGAATTGGAGTTAACTTATAACGTCTGAAAGTGGACATGAAATTTAGAAGTTGTCATATAATAGACATACATAAGTGAAAATAGAAGAACTTTTGTTCTTCACAAAAATTTCTGTATTTGACATGAAATTATGCTGCTATACATATATGAAAGAATATGAAAAATGTAGAATATCACTGAGAAATAATGCTTAATAATATGTTTAGTTTTATGTTATTTTTTAGTGGTCGAAAAACCGCCATATGAAGTGACCGAAACAGGTTGGGGCGAATTTGAGATTCAAATTCGAATATATTTTGTCGACGTTAATGAAAAACCGGTAAAGATTCATTATTTTTCGTCATATTGTTTTAATTATTAATCACGAAATTTAGACTATATTTATTTGGTCACATGTTTGCTGTCTAATTCATTATTTATAGATTGTGATTGACACAATTTAAAATGTTAAGTTCCACTTCAAATGTTGTAATACATATTTTATAATAACAAGAATTCTCTTATTTTCAACGATGAATAAGATATGAAATGATGAGATATCATCAATAAATGGCAGTTATAAGAATTGAAATAATAACAACTTAGTTAGCTAATTCTTTAATCATGTATTTTAAGGTAACAGCGTTCCATTATCTTAGGTTATTTCAACCACAAGTTACACTTCCCAACGGCAAAACGATGGTTGCTGCAGAATATTACGATGAAATTGTAAGTTTTTTTTGTAGTTTTTTTTTTTTTTTTATATATAAAGAATGAAAATTTTGAAAAGCTAATATTTGTTCATTTCTAAGCGACAATTATTGACAAATGACAGATGATATCATTTTAAATAAATCAAATCTTTTTTTTTTTTTTTTTTTTTTTTTTTTTTTTTTTTTTTTTTTTTTTTTTTTTTTTTTACATTTCAGTACTGTGTGCTTTATGATTCAGAGTATTTACATTGAATAAAATAAATAAAATTTTTTTTGACTGTATATTTGTCTTGAATAAAATTTTGCTTGACTGTATATTGTATTAAATTTTGCTTGACTGTTGTATATTGTAGGTATTTCAAGAACCTACAATGTCAATGTATAAAGTGTTATCGCATTTAGAGGGACGCAAAGCTGAACCGAGACGTTTTCATACTGACTGTATGTCTTTCTCGATTGTTAAATTCTTTTCCTTTTTTTTTGATTTCTCCTTTTGTACTTTTTTTTTATATCTCTGTGGAATCAATGTAAAAAGCAATTCTTTTAATATTGATTAAATAGATTGAGTAATATTACTGTTTTTTTTTTTATATATATTGAATAGTTACTTTCACATTGATGTTGTTTTCCTTAATTTCAGTTCCTTTTGTGCGTAAACGAACGCAAGAAATGATTAACAATGCAAGAAGTGAAATTAACAAAGAAATTCAAGATTTAATGGATTCATTAAAAGCTGCTCATGAATTAATTGGAAAATATTCGAAAGAAGTTGATTCATTGGAAGCAGCTGCTGGAAATCCTGAAGATGGTAGCTTTACATGTGAAAGTAGCGGACAAAATACATTATGATGAACAGCTTTTAATAAATCCACTAGAGAAAAGAAAAACAAAAAGTTAAATAATACTTAGATTATCGATGTGTTCATTTTATGTTATCTGTATATCCAATATGTTTATTTTAATACTCTGTGAATCCTCTCATCCTATAATTGAAGTTTAATAGTGTGCATTAATTGATTTCAAAAGTTATGTTTTCATTCTCTCTGTGTTATTTGTTGAGCTCTTCTTGTTATTGTCATTTTTGAGGTCATTTATTTGAGAATGTAACAATAGTTATTTGTTGATAAATGTATATCCATATGGTAATCTGAACATTTATTTATTAGTTAGAATAATGATGAAAGACTTTAAAAATTCTGACAATTAAGTATGCTTGATAAATTTTTAGTAATGATTTAGAAAATGAGAGAGAAAGTGATAGAGCGGATATATTTTACATTGTACTGTTTAACTAGCATTCATTAAAATTATATCCAAATCTAGCATTATTTATTCTGATTTAAATGTTGTATTTTTTTTTTGTTTTGAATATGAAATGAAGCTATTTCTTCTTTTTTTTTTTTTTTTTTCTGTTCATTTAAAATTATTTCTTATCGATTTAGAAGCAATGCCAATTAGCATTTGGTAACCAAAGAAATAACAGAGATGTGAAATTCTGCTATAGGCTATAAGCTATAATGTTATGTTAGAAAAAAAAATAAATAAAAAATAGCAAAAGGATTCAAAAAAAAAAAATCTTATTGCACTTTTCCTCTCCAACATCAACAATTTACACATATTTTTTTTGACTTTCCCTTCCCAATGTCAACAAATTTACCCATATTTTTTGATCATTCATTCATCTTCATTATGCTTTCTTCTGATCATTTCATCAATCAATCGATCATCAATCAATCAATTTATAATAAGCAATTTGATCTCTTTGTTATCTCTTATTTTCTGACAATGAAGATTACAAGATTACAAGATATTAGGAGATCAACAATTAAAAATAGTTGAAAGTCAATTATGGTACATAAATAGAGAAAAAAAAGTGTAAAAGCTAAGTTAATAATATCATTGCAAATAGTTATATCTAAGTTTTTTAATGAGTCATTAAAAAAAAAAGAACAAAACTTTATTGAAAAAAGAATAGAAGTTTATTGACGAATAAAAACTTGTAAACATAATAAAAAAGAGGGGAAAAAAGGGGAAAGAAAAGCTTCATAAAGAGAAATTATTTTCATGATAGCTATTTGTTTACCAATTGCTTATTCATTGTCATTTTTTTTTTTCCTTCTAATATTAATCATTCCAAATGATAAATATGCTGCTTAAAACCTGTGAGAAATTTAATTGCTATTAGCATTTTATCAAAATAAATATATCATTTGCTAAATTAGCCAATATCTTTGTGTACATCCAATTTGTCACCAGTAATAGAAATATTTGAAATAAAATTTATTGAAATTACTACTATAGTTTTGATAATATTTTTATTGTTTAAGCAATGATAATTACAATTTTTTATGTTTAATTTTTGATGGTTGAAAATTTAAAATGTTATAAAAATTTAATTTCATTTTGAAAAGTAAAATTTATTGATGGTAATAATAAATTAGTTTCATCTTATATTATTAATTCAAAAAATTTCAATATTTCAAAGATTAAATTTAATTTAGTTTAAAAAAAAAAAAAACTGTTTTATATTTATTTTATATATATATTTTTTATTTCATATTTATATGTAGGCAAAACTTTTTTTTTTTTGTTAAATTTTCAAATTTGATATTCTCTCTCTCTTTTTTTATTGAATTTTTCTTCTCATTTCTGTCCATCATTTGCTTACGTTAACATCAATTTATCACTTTTACATCAATAAATCATTAATTCGTTCCCTTTCTTCTTTCTCTCTCTCTCTCTCTCTCTCTCCCTCTTATTTTTTGTTATTTAATCTTTTATTCTTTCTTATCATTTTGTTTTTTTTTTTTTTTTTTTCACTTCTTTTTTTCTCATTTTTAAACAAAATTAAACTTAAATTATTTCATTTTTTGTTATATTTCACAAAAATTTTTTCACATTAATTTTATCAATTTATGGAATATTAGATGAATAATTTTTTTATCATTGTAATTATTATTATTATTATTGTTATTTATATTATTGCCTTCATTATTATTTATTTTCCAAATCATTTATAATTTAATACCATTTTTTTAATTAATAAAATAAATTATTTTTCCATTTTTTAATTTTTAAAATAAATTATTTTTCCATTTTTTAATAAATAAAATTATTTTGTCAATATTATATTATTTATATAAGCTAATATTTTTTTTTCATAATTTATTTAATAATTGAATTTTCAATTAATATTTCCATTTTCAAATAATTAAACTTTTTTATTTTTCCCTTCTTCCTATAAGAATTTTATTATTTCTTCTCCGTTTCCCTTCTCTTCCTCTCTCCCTCTCTCTCTCTCTTTCTATCTCTCTTTTTCTTTCTCTCTATTTCTCTCTCTTTCTATTCTTCTCCTTCTATTTCTCTATTTCTATCTTCCTTTATCCCTCTTCTTTTATTTCCATATTTCTATCTCTCTCTCTTTCTCTCTCCTTCTCTCATTCCTATCCATCATCTATTTATATTCAAACAAGTTTGGTAATCCTCTCTTCCTTCTCCTCCTCCTTCTCTTACTCCTCCTCTTCCTTCTCCTCCTCCTCTTCCTATTTTTCCTCATCTTCCTTCTCCTCCTCCTTCTCTTACTCCTCCTCCTCCTCCTTCTATTTTTCCTCATCTTCCTTCTCCTCCTCCTTCTCTTACTCCTCCTCTTCCTCCCCTCCTCCTCATCTTCCTTCTCATCCTCCTTCTCTTACTCCTCTCCCTTCTCCTCCTCCTTCTATTCCTTCCCCTCCTCCCTCTGTTCCTCCTCCTCTTCCTCCCCTCCTCCTCCTCTTCCTTCTCTTCCTTCTCCTCCTCCTCCTTCTATTCCTTCTCCTTTTCCTCTCTCATTTTCATTTCCTCTTCTATTAATCATCAAATTCAATAAATATCATCATCCTATTGCTATCATCTATTCGCTTTTTCATCAGTACTCAATTCTATCACATTTTGTTATCATTCAAAAATCTTTCTGTCTTTGATTTCCGATTCTTACATTTATTATTATTCCAAACGATCAGCAAATGTTAAGCGGTATTTATCTGTAAAATTCACATAATATATTTAATAACAATAAATGTTTAAACAGTTAAAAGTATTTTTTCCACTTCAACAAAAAATTTTTCTACAAAATTTTTCTTCCATTTTAATGTAAAATCATTCATTCAAATTGTTTAAATTTAAAATTGTGTAAAATTTAGTGTAATATTATTAAGCGTTAAACATTAATAAAAATAATATTTGAAAAAAGAAAATAAAATTTTTATTAAACATAGAATTAAAAATATGAATATTATTTCAGTTATAATATTACATTGTATTTTTATACATTACACTTGTTATATTTTCAAATTGTATCAATTTTCATTGAAATTTTAAACAACTAATGCTTCAAAATTTTAATGTGAGATTTAATTTCACGAAAAAAAAAAAGAAAACTGATAAGATATGATTTGACTGACAATTTGATTATTATTACAAACAATTCGATTATTGACTTTTTTTTTTTTTTAAATGCTAAATCTATTGAATTACACATTTTTTTAGTTGATTAAACTTTTTAAATTCGTCAATTTCTTTTTTTTTTGACGAAATATTTTTTTAAATTTAATATTTCAATTATATAAATTAAATATTTGTCAAAAATAATATTATTAATATGTGAGCATATAATTAAAACAAAATTTAATTGCTATAATTTCTATACCAATCATTTTAACAAATAACAGTAAATGCATCTCCATTAATTTTAAAAGTAACAAAAAAAAAAAAAAAAAACGAAACAAATTTTAGTTTTTAATTTTTTTTTTTATTACGGTACATTTAACATTTATTTATTTATTTATTTTTTAAATTTTAAATATATATAGTTGTTTTCTTTTTTTCAAAGTTTTAAATCAATTTTTAACAAATTTGCTATTTATTTATTTAAAAAATAATTTTAATATATTGATAAATTCAATGAAAATATATTCTCTTAAGTGTTATCAAATGATAAAAATAATCACATTAAACATTTAATTCATGAAATACAACTTTTAAAATATTTTATTTTTATTGTTTTATTCGTTTTTATTTTAAACTTACAATTGTTTCTTTCTCACCTTCATTTTTTATATAATTTATGTTGATGATGATATGATAACATATCTAATATCAGAATTATCACCGATGATATGATGTCATATCTTAATATCAAAATTATCACCGATGATATGATAACATATTCTAATATCAGAATTATCACCGATGATACGGTAACATATCTTAATATCAGAATTATCACCGATGATATGATGTCATATCTTAATATCAAAATTATCACCGATGATATGATAACATATTTTAATATCAGAATTATCACCGATGATATGATGTCATATCTTAATATCAAAATTATCACCGATGATATGATAACATATTTTAATATCAGAATTATCACCGATGATATGATGTCATATCTTAATATTAGAATTATCACCGATGATATGGTATCATATCTTATTGTCAGGATTATCACCGTTAATGTTTAATTAGTTTTTTTAAATGATTAGAGGAAATTGTGAATTTATCAGTGATAGAAAAATTCATATAATTTTTAATAAATTATAAAATACCCATTTGCAATTTTGATTAATAAATATAAAATTCCTAAATATGAAATTTTCTGCTAGTTTTTTTTTTTTCAGTATTCCAGTTCGATGTAATAATTTTAAATTGATTTCCTTGAAATTGATTTAATTGATTAATAATTTAGAAATTTTAAATATTGATTAATAGACTTCCTGTATTATATTGGAATCATTGGAATTAGTATGAATGTATTAATATACTTATATTTGAATTAAATTATTCAATTCTCAAAAAAAAAAAAAAAAAAATTGAAAGGAATTAAATGTTAGAACAATTTCTGTCTGCCGAAGAACTGGTAATTAATTTGATTTAAATTTAAAATTGATAAAATTTGCTGAATGTATTAAATTTTTAAGTTATTTTACTTAAACACAACCAAAGGTAGGAAGAAGGAGTATAGAGGACAAAAGAAAGAGGTCATTGTCGCATATAGAGGTCATCTGCGACACAATTTCTTCTAACAATAACAATCTTTCTCGAACAAACTCTTTTGTCAAACAGGTTTCTCCTTCCCTCTCCCTCTCCCTCTCTCTCTCCCTCCCTCATAAACAGAAGAAATTTCTTTTTTTTTTTTCTCTCTCTCTCTGTTTTTTCTTTTGCTCACTTAAGAACTGGGTCAATCAATGTTTTATTTCACATTTCAGATGCGTTCCTGTTTGTGTTTGCCTATCTACCTGCATGATGAATTTATATACATTTATTATACATTTCTGCATGCAAAACTGCATTTCTGCATGCATTTTCAAATCGATAATTCTGCTTTCCTCAATTCTACAATCTAATTTTATTAATTAACAATAATTTTACTGCTATTTTCTCTTGTCTTTTTTTTTTTTTTTGCTTCTTATATATATATTTTTTTTTTAAATTCACTTCAAAAGATTTCAGTTTTTTTTTTTTTTTTTTTTTTAAAATTTTTATGACAAATTTGATGATTCATCAGCACATATAAATATAATAAAATTTGTGGATTTTTTTTTTTTTTTTTTCAAAAATGTTTGATAAATTGATGAATTCTATCAATAAAAAGAGAACGAATAAATTTCATACAATTTTATTTGTAATATTAAATTGATAATTTTTACATTTCATTCGAATGATAAGCTATCATTTGCTTTATTGTTATGATTATAGAATGAAAATTTTATAAAATGTCATTTCTCGGTTCTGCGATTATTCAAAATATGATTTGAATATTTGAATAATTTATTATGAAGGAATGATAGTAGGTTGATGATATCATTTAAATTTTTATCAAATAGTTAATTTATTGTTATTATTAATTTTATTATTACTATTATTATATATTGTTATTATTAATTATTAATTAAAAGTTAATTTGTTATTATTATTAATAATTTATTATTATTATTAATTTATTATTATTACTATTATTAATTTATTATTATTATTAATTATTATTGTTATTGTTATTATTATCATTATCATCATCATCATCATCATTATTATTATTATTATTGTTATCATTATTATGATATGTAAATGAAATTTTCTCTCTCTTTTTTAATTTATCAAAGTATGTTATTTATTATTATTATAAATAATATTCAATTGCTTCTTCTTCTTCCTCTATTGTCGATATCAAAATATTTTACTCAATGACTAATCTTTTCTTTGTTATCATAACGATGTAATGGAAAAATTACTGCAAATATTGCAACTAAAATCATGATAAAAAATGATAAGCATTGATTAAATTTCTTTTCCTATTAAAAAAAAAAAAAGAAAAAATATTTTGCATTTTTTTTTTTGAAAAAACACGCAAAATTCATAAGTCTTAATAAATTTAATTATTTTTAATGCTATAAAAGTATAATTGTTACTGAATTGCACAATAAATATTATTATTCCTTATCATTTGATCACTAAAATTAATTTCTTATCATCCAAAAAATGATAAGCAAAACAATGATTTTTTCATGATAAATGAACAATAAAAATATGATATTTCTTTTTTCTTTTTTTATCTTATCTAATTTTTTACGACTAATTTTGCCATACCATTTGATAAAACATTTTAAATTTACAGAACAAAAACTTTAATTATTTGAAGAATTTTTCATCAATTTCAATATTCCAATATATTATTGATCAAATTTCTATTCATCTACAATCATTTAATTAATAATTAATTACTAATTAATTGTATCCGTTGCATTAATTTTTCATAAATTTTACATTTATATAAATTTAAAGTTTATATAAATTTTTTCATATATTTTTGATATAAATTTTTTTTTTCATATATGTCTAGAAAATTTTGCAGCAAAAAAAAAAAAAAAAAAAAAAAAAAAATTTATTCATAGTTGTAAAATTTTTTACTTCAAGAATTTTCTCTCTACTTTGTTATTCCGATAGATCAGTCAAGTTTTTATCATTGTTAATTGCCGAATAATCATAATTGTACCTGTCTGCCTAATAATTATTCTAACTTGCACCAGGATTATTTGATTAGTAAACAAAGAAATAATTTTTGTTAATTAAAATTTATAAACAATAACAGTGATATAATTTGATTGAGAACAAACAAATCCGGAAAATTTGACTGAGAACAAACAAATCCGGTTTTGTGCTTAACTGGACATATGCAAAATCCGGCTTACTGATCCATCATCTATGATGTGATAATAGGACTTTATAATGATTCTTTCCTGTTAAAAAAAAAAAAAATTTTTATCTGAGTAATTATGAAAAAAATAATTTTGCATTAAATTTTAAATATAAATTTATTTTTAACGAAGAAAAAATAAAAATAAAAAAAAAAAAAAAAAAAACATTTGCTCAGTGTAATTCTTTTTGTTGTTTTTCTTTTTTAATTTTTTAATATTATTTATTATACAAATTTATTTTTTATTATGCGAAAAGAAAAAGAAATATTCTTTAATCATTTTTAGTTTTGTTTTTTTAATGCAAATTTTAAAATTTTTTTTTTTTTTTCATTACTTATTCCATTCAAAATTAACTATCCCTCTGACCTTTGACATTAATGATAGTTGATTTGTATAAATTCTAGTAATTTTTAATAATAAGTATAATTTTTAGTAATTTTTAATAATAAATATTATTTTTAGTAACAAGTATAATTTTTTGTTGTAAATTACATAATTCGAAAAAACAGAAAGAAAATCCATTTTCATCATATGATTAATTATTCAAATAAAAAACAAGCAAGCATAAAACTGAAAAAAAAAAAAAAAAAACCTGTTTTCCTGATCAAAAATTAATATCCGATTTTCCACTGTTTTACTTCCAATTTCAATTATCTCAAATTTGATGATTCTGATAATTTATCAAATGTTTATGAAATCATTTTTGGATTGCTATTAATTTTCCTCATTTTTCTCTTGTTTTTTTTTTTTTTGTTTTCTTTGAAATGAACAAGTTGATAAGATTAATTGATATAAATCATTATTTACATTTATTTATTTTTTGATAAATAAGTTATTTTTGTAAATAAGTTACTATTTTTTTTGATAAATAATCTGATCATATGTTACTTTTAAATATTTAAAACTGTCATTTCATTATTGTAAAATTATATTAAATTGTCATTATTTTTATCAATAATAATTAAAAATTGTTAACTGTGCTTTTTTTTTTTTTTTTTGCATTTTTATTTATCCAAATTTACAGATTGATTAAAAGTCGTAATTATTGTGATCGGCATTTTTTTTAATCTTTTATCTATCACAATCTACCATCGATTAATAACGAAAAAATGCCATTGACCTGTAGTGATTGCCCGAAGATATGTTGTTCCGTAATTATACCTGTAAGTTTCCCTTTTTTTTTTACCTTTTTCAACTAAATAATTTAATTTTTTTATAATTTATATATTTCGCTTCTATTTTTACTATATAATTTGTTCCTTCAAATTATTATGCCTAAATTATCAAAAAAATAAAACTTTAAAAAATTATCAATAAAATGATTTAATAATTCAAAAAATTTTTTCATTTGTTAAATTAAACATCGTAGTTGTTTCTCCGATAAAAAAAAAAAAAAAAAAAAAAAAAACACTTTTACATTTTTATTCTTTTGTTATTATTTATTAAATTCTTTTCTTTTGAATATGATGACATCATATAAGAGTTTTTCTCAATTTCCAATTTTTTTTTTTAAATAAATTCAGGTTTTAGAATTAATCACTGTTTCATCACTACAAAAACCATTATTATAATAATTTTTTAAAAATAAAATACAGTAAAAATTGACACAATTAATTCTAAAATTAATACCAATTGCGCCACTTATATTATCTAGCAATTAAATATGTGCTAATTGAACTGAATGCTAAAATGTTTGAAAGATTGAAATAAAATAATAAAAATTTTTTATGTACATATAAGAATTTTTGTAAATTTAATTTATAAAGTTTTATAATCCAAAAAAAAAGAAAAAAAAATGACAAATTAATTTAAAATTCAATACTAATAATTCATTCCACTGTGCTTTTTAATTTTTTTTTTTTTAGTTTCTATAAAGGATCTTTTTTTATTTTTATGATAGCAAAACATTTTTTTTTTTTCGTCTACTAAATTAATGATTAAATTCATGATAATGATTTAAATTTTTGTTGATTTATTTAAAATGTTTAAATTGTTTTTTTTTTGTTTTTAAATTAAATAATTTTTTTTTTAGCCTATTGGTGTATTTTTCGAGAAAGGTTGCGGTACCGACTTGGTTATTAATATCCTGCTAACATTACTTGGTTATATACCTGGTTTGATACATGCTTGCTTCATTATCGTCAAATATTGATCGTTATTGAAATTTCAATTGATAAAAAATATCAATCATTCATCAATTCATTTCATTTCTAATTTTTTTTCACACAATTAATCCTTATGCTTTTTTTTTTCCTTTTTATTAGCATTCAATTTTAAATTCATTCATTTGAACTTTTTAAAACATACAATTTCTTTTCCTTCTCTTCTCTCTCTCTCTCTCTCATATAATCTTTGCCTATTGCATTTGTAATTTAATTAAAAAATGAGCAGTTTGTGATTTACTTTTTTTTTTTTAAAATTTAAAAAGTTGACCTTTCAAAAATTCTTAGAATTTAAAAAGTTAACAGCTTTATTTTATTTATAATTCGTATAATTAAATTTTTCTTATTAAAATTCTTTTTTCTAACTTTTGATAACTAATACTATGATTTTATTCTAGGAGGAATTCGTTTTGCTAATATTACATTGTTTATCAAAATTGGCAGATAATTTTATAAATTTAAACTCATTTAACATTCATGCAAAATTTGTAAGATTTTTTTTTTATAATATAAACTAATACTTAACTAATTAATTCATTAATTGTTCCATGCTTCTATTTTCTTGTTTAAAAGTAATGAAAACGAATATGATTTATTATAGTTTTATTTTTCTTTTTTTTTTTTTAAATTAGTAAAATCGAGAATGAATTTCAATCCTTTACATTTACATATTACACATTTTATTTAGTCTTCAAACTATACATTTAACTTTTTTATTCCACCTCCTTTCCTCTCATTTTTTTTTTTTTTTTTGCTAAAAATAAATGTGAATTATTTAGTTTCTTCTTTTTTTTAATTTGAGCTGTCAAGTGACCACATCGCAAATGACCAGATCCCATGCAATGCATATAAAATAATCAATTAAATTCTAAATAATTTTTTTTTTTTTTAGTGAATTGCTATTTTTTAATAGTTCTAACGCTTAATTAGAATTTAATTTCATAATACTACAATTTATTTCCTTGTTTTTAAAATACAAAAACTTTTACAAATTGTTAGGATTTTTTTTTCAAATTGTTGGCAAATTTTTTTTTTTTTTTTTTTTTTTTCTTATGGACAAATAATAGAAGCCTTTTAACACTAAAATTTATATTTGAAAGAGATTAAATTATAAAAAAAAAAAAAAAAAAAATCCTATCTAATTTTTTACGATTATTTTTGCCGTACCATTTGATAAAACTTTTTAAATTTACAGAACAAAAACTTTAATTATTTGAAGAATTTTTCATCAATTCCAATATTTCAATGTTCTAATATATTATGGATCAAATTTCTATTCATCTGTAATCATTTAATTAATAATTAATTACTAATTAATTGTATTCGTTGCATTAATTTCTCATAAATTTTACATTTATATAAATTTAAAGTTTATATAAATTTTTTTCGTATATTTTTAATATAAATTTTTTTTCATATGTCTAGAAAATTTTGCAACAAAAAAAAAAAAAAAAAAAAAAATTAATTCAGTCATAATTGTAAAATTTTTTACTTGAAGAATTTTCTCTCTACTTTGTTATTCCGATAGATCAGTCAAGTTTTTATCATTGTTAATTGCCGAATAATCATAATTGTACCTGTCTGCCTAATAATTATTCTAACTTGCACCAGGATTATTTGATTAGTAAACAAAGAAATAATTTTTGTTAATTAAAATTTATAAACAATAGCAGTGATATAATTTGATTGAGAACAAACAAATCCGGTTTATGCTTAACTGGACATATGCAAAATCCGGATTACTTATCCATCATCTATGATTGATAATAGGACTTTATAATGATTTTTTCCTGTTAAAAAAAAAAAAAAAGCTTATCTTAGTAATTATGAAAAAAATAATTTTACATTAAATTTTAAATATAAGTTTATTTTTAACGAACAAAAAATAAAAATAAAAAAAAAAAAAAAAAAAAAAAAACATTTGCTCAGTGTAACTCTTTCTGTTTTTTTTTTAATTTTTTAATATTATTTATTATAGAAATTAATTTTTTATTATGCAAAAAGAAAAAGAAATATTCTTTAATCACTTTCAGTTTTTTTTAATGCAAATTTTAAAAATCATTTTTTTTTTTTCATTACTTATTTCATTCAAAATTAACTATCCCTCGGACCTTTGACATTAATGATAATTGATTTGTATAAATTCTAGTAATTTTTAATAATGAGTATTATTTTTAGTAACAAGTATAATTTTTGTTGTAAATTACATAATTCGAAAAAAACAGAAAGAAAATCCATTTTCATCGTATGATTAATTATTCAAATAAAAAACAAGCAAGCATAAAACTGAAAAAAAAAAACCTGTTTTCCTGATCAAAAAGTAATATCCGATTTTCCATTGTTTTACTTCCAATTTCAATTATCTCAAATTGATGATATGATAATTTATCAAATGTTTATGAAATTATTTTTGGATTGCTATTAATTTTCCTCATTTTTCTCTTGTTTTTTTTTTTTTTGTTTTCTTTGAAATGAACAAGTTGATAAGATTAATTGATATAAATCATTATTTACATTTATTTATTTTTTGATAAATAAGTTATTTTTGTAAATAAGTTACTATTTTTTTTGATAAATAATCTGATCATATGTTACTTTTAAATATTTAAAACTGTCATTTCATTATTGTAAAATTATATTAAATTGTCATTATTTTTATCAATAATAATTAAAAATTGTTAACTGTGTTTTTTTTTTTTTGCATTTTTATTTATCCAAATTTACAGATTGATTAAAAGTCGTAATTATTGTGATCGGCATTTTTTTTAATCTTTTATCTATCACAATCTACCATCGATTAATAACGAAAAAATGCCATTGACCTGTAGTGATTGCCCGAAGATATGTTGTTCCGTAATTATAGCTGTAAGTTTCTTTTTTTTTCCTTTTTCAACTAAATAATTTAATTATTTTATAATTTATATATTTCGCTTTTATTTTTACCATATAATTTATTCCTTCAAATTATTATACCTAAATCATCAAAAAAATAAGACTTTAAAAAATTTGAAAAAATTATCAATAAAATGATTTAATAACTCAAAAAATTTTTTCATTTGTTAAATTAAACATCGTAGTTGTTTCTCCGATAAAAAAAAAAAAAACACTTTTACATTTTTATTCTTTTGTTATTATTTATTAAATTCTTTTCTTTTGAATATGATGACATCATATAAGAGTTTTTCTCAATTTCCAATTTTTTTTTAAATGAATTTTAAATAAATTCAGGTTTTAGAATTAATCACTAATTCATCACTGCAAAAACCATTATTATAATAATTGTTTAAAAATAAAATATAGTAAAAACTGACACAATTAATTCTAAAATTAATACCAATTGCGCCACTTATATTATTAAGCAATTAAATATGTGCAAATTGAACTGAATGCTAAAATGTTTGAAAGATTGAAATAAAATAACAAAAATTTTTTATGCACATATAAGAATTTAGTAAATTTAATTTATAAAGTTTTATAATCCAAAACAAAAAAATGACAAATTAATTTAAAATTCAGTATTAATAATTCATTCTATTGTGCTTTTTAAATTTTTTTTTAGCTTCTATAAAGAAAAATTTTTTTTCTTATGTAAGCAAAACATTTTTTTTTTTCATCTATTAAATTAATGATTAAATTCATGATAATTTTTGTTAATTTATTTTTAAATTTTTAAATTTTTTTTTTGCTTTTAAATTAAATAATTTTTTTTTAGCCTAATGGTGTATTTTTTGAGAAAGGTTGCGGTACCGACTTGGTTATTAATATCCTGCTAACAATACTTGGTTATATATCTGGTTTGATATATGCTTGCTTCATTACCGTCAAATATTGATCGTTATTGAAATTTCAATTGATTAAAAAATATCGATCATTCATCAATTCATTTCATTTCTTATTTTTTCACACAATTATTCCTTAAAAATGCTGCGTTATATAAAAAATCTTCAAGAAGTAAATTTGAATGTTGAATATCGTTTTATTTACAATAGTACATTCATCATCATGTTGTCTATAAATCGGATTTCAGAAATTGAATCAGAAATGGTCAAAGGGTTTGGATGAAATGCAAAAAATGGCGAGTAAAATGAAAATACTGCATGAGTATGCAGAGAAAAACTTTGAAAGCTTGAGCGTATTATTGGATTGCTTGCATGGCCGAGAAATTAAACAGTTGGAAAATAATGAAAGAGAAGGAGATACTTTCAAGAAAATATGTGAAGAAGTAATGCAGGTTTGCTTCTTCTTTCGAGAAATTTTCATTGTTTTGTGGAGTTTCAAAACTGTTAAATAATGTTAAGATTGTTTTTTAAATCAAATTTTTGTCAATTTTGGGAGCTAAAAAGGACGGCTCAGCATTTGCGAATCAATGAGGAAGATATAAAATATCAAAGCTCAATTTTGCTTGAGAATTTGGATTTTGGAAGTGAAATTTTTGCTGCAATAATTCGTGCTGCTGTAAATTTAACAAAGGAAAATGATGAACTGAAAAATGAAAATGCAGAACTCAGGAATACGATTTTTATATTGGAAAAAGAAAACACAGACTTAAAAGAGGTAATACTTTGGATTGTAAATCCGTATATATTACAATGATAATTTCAAGCAATTTCAGTCTGCTTTAACTACCTGTCCAGTTGTGGAATTTGGCAGTTTCAATCTTATCTATCTTAAGCTAATAGGTTTTTCCATAACAATTTACAACACTGCTAAAGTAATATATCACAACCGTACCATTTTCGGGTGACATTATCAGATAACTATAGATTATTTGGTGACATTATCAGATAACACTATAGAAATACTGAGTACATTGTTAGTTTTAATTTCTTTGAAAATTTTTTATAGATGAGAAAAATGTCAATTGTACAAGAGAAAAAATTTGAAGAGGTAGAATACAGATTAGACCGTTTGCGAGAAAAAAGTGAACGATTAATAAAAGCGTGCTATGATGAGGATGAGGAAGTTGATGATCTTAAAAGTCAGATATCAGAATGATTGAATGCAAATCACTAACTTTAGGCTGATATGATTTGCTTTAGCAATAAGAAAGTGGAAATTTTTTGCTTTTAGCTTTTGCTTTGCCCATTTTTTTTTTTTTTTTATTTGCTTTTCTACACCAGAAATATCATGTAGGAATGAACCACCAGCAATTGGAATCGCGTAAAAAAAAAATAGTTTTACGTTACTTTTATAATCCTCAACATTACTCAGAATGCTAGTGGTTTAAAAATCAGTAAGGTAAGGGTTGAAATAATGTTTGTTTACATGATATATAATTTGAAACAGTTTTACATTTCCAGTGTTCAATTAAGATAAGTTTTTGTATTATGGATTATTACAATTTTATTTGATATTTTTTTGTAAATTATTTGAAGGTTCGCGAGATTATTTCGAATTTCACGACAATGCATCAAAAATTCTACATACTATAGCAACAGTTGATTACAAAAAATTTTTTCCATTCTTTTTTAACAAAAATGCATTTTTCCAAATTACTTCAAATCGTTTGAAAGCTGAATTAAGCAAGAAAAATTACATTTATTTACAAAGAAGCAAATATAAAATCCCAATAAAGTATCAAAGAATACACAAAAAAATTTTTACAAATTAGAATCTAGAATCTTTGATGCACAACTGCAAATTCAAAATGATAAAAATAAGTGATAGCATAAAATAAATTATACCAAAATTAGTTATCTAATGACATTACTACCATTTAATATTCAATTTCTGTAATGAAATTAAACTATTCATGACTACATATCTAAAAATAACCATAATTAAAAATTTTTAGGGAAAAGTAATAAATACGATCTATGAATCCATAAGATGAAAAAATAACCCCAATTATTTTAATTAATATCAAATATTGCAAATCTATAATAAAACTATAATAAAACAAAAATAACTAGAAAATTCCTCTTCAAAGATTGATTTAATACTAAAATAATTGAAGTAATTTGGAAAAATGCATTTTTGTTAAAAAAGAATGGAAAAAATTTTTTGTAATCAACTGTTGCTATAGTATGTAGAATTTTTGATGCATTGTCGTGAAATTCGAAATAATCTCGCGAACCTTCAAATAATTTACAAAAAAATATCAAATAAAATTATAATAATCCATAATACAAAAACTTATCTTAATTGAACACTGGAAATGTAAAACTGTTTCAAATTATATATCATGTAAACAAACATTATTTCAACCCTTACCTTACTGATTTTTAAACCACTAGCATTCTGAGTAATGTTGAGGATTATAAAAGTAACGTAAAACTATTTTTTTTTTACGCGATTCCAATTGCTGGTGGTTCATTCCTACATGATATTTCTGGTGTAGAAAAGCAAATAAAAAAAAAAAAAATGGGCAAAGCAAAAGCTAAAAGCAAAAAATTTCCACTTTCTTATTGCTAAAGCAAATCATATCAGCCTAAAGTTAGTGATTTGCATTCAATCATTCTGATATCTGACTTTTAAGATCATCAACTTCCTCATCCTCATCATAGCACGCTTTTATTAATCGTTCACTTTTTTCTCGCAAACGGTCTAATCTGTATTCTACCTCTTCAAATTTTTTCTCTTGTACAATTGACATTTTTCTCATCTATAAAAAATTTTCAACGAAATTAAAACTAGAAATGTACCCAGTATTTCTATAGTGTTATCTGTAAATAAGGAATTAGACAGCAAACATGTGACCAAATAAAATATAGTCAAAATTTCGTGATTATTAATTCAAACAATATGACGCAAAATAATGAATCTTTACCGGTTTTTCATTAACGTCGACAAAATATATTCGAATTTGAATCTCAAATTCGCCCCAACCTGTTTCGGTCACTTCATACGGCGGTTTTTCGACCACTAAAAAATAGCATAAAACTAAACATATTATTAAGCATTCTTTCTCAGTGATATTCTATATTTTTCATATTCTTTCATATATGTATAGCAGTATAATTTCATGTCAAATACAGAAATTTTTGTGAAGAACAAAAGTTCTTCTATTTTCACTTATGTATCTATATTATATGACAACTTCTAAATTTCATGTCCACTTTTGACGTTATAAGTTAACTCCAATTCATAAACTATAATCGTTAAGAATTGGATAAAAGTAGAATTCTAATCAAAACTAAAAGTTTGCCATTCAGCATATGAAAATGCACAATTAGATTACAAACTAAAATTATAATATCATAATAACAATGTGATAATCTAATTAGGCTAGTTATTCCAGACAGAAAAAAAAAAAAAAAACTAATATTAAAAAAAAAAAGAAATAAATTACTTCGTGTTGCATTAGCATATGAATCGTGTAATTTGAATTGTACTTTTCGAATATACTTTGATGGATCTTCATTGTAGTAAGGTTTCACGAATACTGTCCATTCATGTGTATGCCCATCTTCTTCGCGTTTTTTACCCAAATAATGGGCAGTATTACCATAAACAATTGGTCGAATGAATATTTTATCTTTTACACGTTCCATCACAATTACAATAAACCATTAAGATAGCAAATGCTACTCTTTTATCATTCGTTCCGCTCCAACCTAAATATAATTCATTATCAAATGATAATGCTAAATTTGCTAAACTTTGTTAACTTCTACGATGAGTACTAAAGTAAGTATTAAGCAATTAAAATTAAAGTAGGATTTTAAAATGTTAACAAGACAAAAGGAATAAAGATATGAAATGCCAAATTATAAATTTAAATACTATCATTGTAACCAATGAAATAAGTAATTAATTATTTCATTAAGTAAAGGATAAATAAATTTGGCAAAAGTAAACAAAATAATTTCACAAATGACATATAATACTAACATTGAAAGAAAAACATTGATAGTTTACTGAAGTGCAACATTATTTCAATTTCTCATTGCAAATTTTAAACGCTGAAATTTGAACTGATACTGATACATTTAGATTTTTCCTTTGCTATTAACAATAGTTACATGTGATCCAGTAATTTTCGAATTTTAACAAAAAAAAAATATCTTTTGAAACAGTACAGGTGATTGGAGGAAATATTTTAAAAAAAAAAAAAAAAATGCAAAAATGGTAAGAAAACAAAGATACAAAGAAATTGTTATATCACACATTGATAAGAATTTATAAGATGAAATAATGAATTATAATTGAGGAAAGTGAAGAAATAATTAAAAATGGAATGGAAGTAAAAGATATTTGAGAATAAACTGAAAAACCAATTTAACTGATAAGTGATAAGACATTAATCATTGCCTTATCTCGAATAACACTACCCCAACCGCACGGTGTCACCTTGCCAAATTCAGAATTTAAAATTTCGGTTTGGAGACGATTTGCGATTATCGCTTATACATTTGAGTGTATAATGTGTTCCTGATCGGAATAAAACCGGAATGGGGGCCATCCTGACCGAACATTTCTGAATTTTCACTAAAAACTTTATCACATCATCATTTTAGTAATTTTTAGGCGCAAAAAAATTAATAACAATTTTTTCGATTGTCATTGAATCGATAGCATATGTGGCAAATTTTTTTTTATGGCTAATAATAGAAGCCTTTTAACACTAAAATTTAAATTTAAAAGAGATTTAATTATTAAAAAAAAATAGTTCAATAATTTGTTTGAGAAATTTAAATGTAAGAGAATTTAATAATATAATTTTATTTATTTTCATTTAATTCAGTTAATACATATTTGTTTGATTTACTTTAAAAATTCATACATATTTTAGTTTTTTTTTTCTCACATCTAAATATAAATTTAAACTTTAATTAAATCTTAATTCCATCTTTTTTTTTTTGTTTAAATTAATTACAGTGTTTTTGCTTGTTTAATAAAATTAACTTATAATCGAAAAATTGAATTAAAAGAGGGAAATTTTTTTTCTTTATTCCCATGAACAAATAACTGAAATTTTAATTTTCAACTTTAAGTTTTAATTTTGTTTTTCACTTTTGTTCAGATCTAATTCTCAATTCTAAATCATAGAAAGAGCTAATTTAGAATGATAATTGTAAAAATTTTCTTCAAAAAATTTATTTTTATCTCAAATTATGAAAAATCGATAAAGTTTTTAAAGAAAAAAGTGGAATAATAAATTTTAAAAATTAAAAAATCATTTTGAAACGGCAAATTTGCTATTTATTAATTGATAAAGAATTGAATATTCAATTATAACCTGTGCTAATAATTAATATTTATTTTGGATTTTCATTTTATTTTCAAGAAAAAATAAAAATATAATTTATTGTAATATGCTAAAAATTATATTTTTATTTTATTACATATTTTTATTGTATTAAACTTTATTTTTAATTTTTTTCATGAAAATAAATGAAAAATTGTCTAAAATTTCTATAATTCCTTTTTTTCTCGCAATTTTTTTTTTTAATTTTTTGTTTATTTAAATGTTATTTATAACAAGAAATTAATTATTAATAAATTTTAAAGTTTAACTTTCAATAAAAAATAAAGGAAAATAATATAAACTCTATCATATCTAAATAAAACAAACATTCAATTCTATGAAATTTCTGTTATTTCATTATATTTTCAAAATAAAAATATATGAAATTAATTAATTGTATTAATTTTAAACTGAAAGTTCAAAATTTCAAATATCACCTATGCTACTAATTAACATTTATTTTAGATTTTCATTTTATTTTCATGAAAATAACAATAAAAATATAATTTATTGTAATATGCTAAAAATTATGTAAAAACTGAGAGTTCAAATTTTTTTTATAACTTTTTTTTGTTAAATTTTTATAAAATTTTATGATAGAATTATTTTTATTTTTGCACACTTTTTTAGTAAAATATTTTAAAATTGTCATTTGATAAATAATATTTGCTAATAAATTTGTTGAGTTGTACAAAGAAAATTTTAGTAAATTTAATAAAAAATTTTAAAAGTAAAATTTTGATTTCTTTTTCCAATCATTTATTGAGCAAATATTTCTTGCAGCCGCATGTGCAGCTGCAGTTGCAGTTGCAAGTGCAATTGCATATCTGCTTGCACATACAAATATATTAGTTTATTGATCCAATAATGACATTATTATTATTACTACTATTGCTCAAGTAGATCTAATCATTACTTACTTTCTTCTTTCACAATTACTTCTTACTTATTACTTAATATTTACTTATTGAATTGATATACATTACTTATTATTAAAATTGATGTTAGTTGATTATTTCAATCCTTAATTCTCATTTTATACTAACTATTTGTCAAAATGATTAATTAATTTGTTTTTTTCTAATATCAAATATTTATTTGCTATATTAATTTGAATTAATGAGTGAATTAATTAATTAAAATTAATTTATGTTATCCTATTTCAATTCAATCCCTAAGTATGTAAGTTACATTCTGTTCTGTTAATTAATTAGTACATAGAGTAGAAGTAATTTAGTTGCAGTTAAATTTTTTTTTTTTTTTTTGCTTTAAAATTACAATTTGTTGAAAAAATTTCTAATTATTACGAAGTACTTAAAATAGTTAAAAATTAAAACTAATTACTATAAATTATGGATTTAAAAATTTTAATAACTTTCGAAAACTCATAAAATTAAAAACTAAAAAACACATATTTTTAAGTAACTAATTATGTAATAAATAATAATAAAATTAGTAAAAGAAATAATATCAAATAGAAATATTAAGAAATTAAGAAACTGACAATGCTTACATTTAATTGTCATTGTCTTGTTGTCAAATATTCATTTTTGTTGTTGTTGTAGATTTATGCGTATGACATAATTAAGTATAAAATTTGAAATTATAATTTGTACTTTGTGAGCTGTTGTTAAATTGCTAAATTCATAATTAAATTTTTACATAATTAATTAACTGATTAAAATTTAATTAAATAATTTAGCTTTCCTTTAAGGCTTGTCACAGTGATGGCTTCAGAAGTGGATGCTTCATCATTGGCAAGCATCATTGAATTAAATGTTAGTGAAATATGAATAAATTTAATTAATTAATATATTTTAAGTTTTAAGTGTGATTTTAAAGTATTATCAATTTACAATTAAGGAAAAATATACCATACTTTATATTTTTTTCAAAAAATATTACATATTTTAAACCTAAAATCATTTCATAATGATAATTTCCGAATTTGAAAAGCCAAAAAACCCATTTTGCTTGTTTTTTTTAGGTTATATTTAAGTTAATAAATTTGTGATATGGTATTTTTTTAAATCGTTTATAAATTTTGAATTTTTTTTCAGGATGCGCTTGTAGATTCGGAATGGTTCTGTCCAGGTGAAATTCATTCAATAATACCAACCGGAAATAAATGGAGTAAACGGAAAAGGAAAATAGAAGCAAATAAATTTCATGATAATACACATTCAAATTGTTTATTTTATATGCGTTGGTATGAAGCATATAAAATTCGTGCTTTAAAACAGCGATTTGTAAGTTTGCTTGCTAATTTTAATGTTTTAAAAAAAATTTTTTTAAATCAAATTTTACTTAGATTCAATATAGTTATTTTTAAAATAACAATTTTGTGAATTGAAAAAAAAGTTTTTTTTTTTTTTTTTTTTAATTTAAAATTGTAAAATTCTCGTGTACAATTGTCAAATTGTGTTAAATATTTTAGGAACAATATAAAATAGATGAAATACAATCGTTTATAAAGCAAAAAATTCAAAAAATGAATGATGTTGTAAGAGATGAAGAAATTAAATTACGCTTAATTTCATCAGTTATTCTAAAACCGGATCATATGCAAAGTAGATTTAAATATATTACAATTCCGCATATATTACAATGATAATTTCAAGCAATTCCAGTACTTCAATTATTTTAGTATTAAACCAATCTTTGAAGAGGAATTTTTCTAGTTATTTTTGTTTTGTTATAGAAATGATTTGCAATATTTGATATTAATTAAAATAATGGGGTTATTTTTTCCATCTTATGCACTCATAGATCGTATTTATTAACTAGAAAATATCAAAAATCGTATCTTTTTCCAATATAAAACTCTTATTCCTGAGTTCTGCATTTTCATTTTTCAGTTCATCGTTTTCCTTTGTTAAATTTTCAGCAGCACGAATTATTGCAGCAATAATTTCACTTGCAAAATCCAAATTCTCAAGCAAAGTTGAGCTTTGATATCTTATATCTTCCTCATTGATTCGAAAATGCTGAGCCGTCCTTTTTAGCTCCCAAAATTGACAAAAATTTGATTTAAAAAACAATCTTAACATTATTTAACAGTTTTGAAACTCCACAAAACAATGAAAATTTCTCGAAAGAAGAAGCAAACCTGCATTACTTCTTCACATATTTTCTTGAAAGTATCTCCTTCTCTTTCATTATTTTCCAACTGTTTAATTTCTCGGCCATGCAAGCAATCCAATAATACGCTCAAGCTTTCAAAGTTTTTCTCTGCATACTCATGCAGTATTTTCATTTTACTCGCCATTTTTTGCATTTCATCCAAACCCTTTGACCATTTCTGATTCAATTTCTGAAATCCGATTTATAGACAACATGATGATGAATGTACTATTGTAAATAAAACGATATTCAACATTCAAATTTACTTCTTGAAGATTTTTTATATAACGCAGCATTTTTAAGGAATAATTGTGTGAAAAAATAAGAAATGAAATGAATTGATGAATGATCGATATTTTTTAATCAATTGAAATTTCAATAACGATCAATATTTGACGGTAATGAAGCAAGCATATATCAAACCAGATATATAACCAAGTATTGTTAGCAGGATATTAATAACCAAGTCGGTACCGCAACCTTTCTCAAAAAATACACCATTAGGCTAAAAAAAAATTATTTAATTTAAAAGCAAAAAAAAAATTTAAAAATTTAAAATAAATTAACAAAAATTATCATGAATTTAATCATTAATTTAATAGATGAAAAAAAAAATGTTTTGCTTACATAAGAAAAAAAATTTTTCTTTATAGAAGCTAAAAAAAATTTAAAAAGCACAATAGAATGAATTATTAATACTGAATTTTAAATTAATTTGTCATTTTTTTTTTTGGATTATAAAACTTTATAAATTAAATTTACTAAATTCTTATATGTGCATAAAAAATTTTTGTTATTTTATTTCAATCTTTCAAACATTTTAGCATTCAGTTCAATTTGCACATATTTAATTGCTTAATAATATAAGTGGCGCAATTGGTATTAATTTAGAATTAATTGTGTCAGTTTTTACTATATTTTATTTTTAAACAATTATTATAATAATGGTTTTTGCAGTGATGAATTAGTGATTAATTCTAAAACCTGAATTTATTTAAAATTCATTTAAAAAAAAATTGGAAATTGAGAAAAACTCTTATATGATGTCATCATATTCAAAAGAAAAGAATTTAATAAATAATAACAAAAGAATAAAAATGTAAAAGTGTTTTTTTTTTTTTTATCGGAGAAACAACTACGATGTTTAATTTAACAAATGAAAAAATTTTTTGAGTTATTAAATCATTTTATTGATAATTTTTCAAATTTTTAAAGTCTTATTTTTTTGATGATTTAGGTATAATAATTTGAAGGAATAAATTATATGGTAAAAATAAAAGCGAAATATATAAATTATAAAATAATTAAATTATTTAGTTGAAAAAGGAAAAAAAAAGAAACTTACAGCTATAATTACGGAACAACATATCTTCGGGCAATCACTACAGGTCAATGGCATTTTTTCGTTATTAATCGATGGTAGATTGTGATAGATAAAAGATTAAAAAAAATGCCGATCACAATAATTACGACTTTTAATCAATCTGTAAATTTGGATAAATAAAAATGCAAAAAAAAAAAAACACAGTTAACAATTTTTAATTATTATTGATAAAAATAATGACAATTTAATATAATTTTACAATAATGAAATGACAGTTTTAAATATTTAAAAGTAACATATGATCAGATTATTTATCAAAAAAATAGTAACTTATTTACAAAAATAACTTATTTATCAAAAAATAAATAAATGTAAATAATGATTTATATCAATTAATCTTATCAACTTGTTCATTTCAAAGAAAACAAAAAAAAAAAAACAAGAGAAAAATGAGAAAATTAATAGCAATCCAAAAATAATTTCATAAACATTTGATAAATTATCATATCATCAATTTGAGATAATTGAAATTGGAAGTAAAACAATGGAAAATCGGATATTACTTTTTGATCAGGAAAACAGGTTTTTTTTTTTCAGTTTTATGCTTGCTTGTTTTTTATTTGAATAATTAATCATACGATGAAAATGGATTTTCTTTCTGTTTTTTTCGAATTATGTAATTTACAACAAAAATTATACTTGTTACTAAAAATAATACTCATTATTAAAAATTACTAGAATTTATACAAATCAATTATCATTAATGTCAAAGGTCCGAGGATAGTTAATTTTGAATGAAATAAGTAATGAAAAAAAAAAAATGATTTTTAAAATTTGCATTAAAAAAAACTGAAAGTGATTAAAGAATATTTCTTTTTCTTTTTGCATAATAAAAAATTAATTTCTATAATAAATAATATTAAAAAATTAAAAAAAAACAGAAAGAGTTACACTGAGCAAATGTTTTTTTTTTTTTTTTTTTTTTTTATTTTTATTTTTTGTTCGTTAAAAATAAACTTATATTTAAAATTTAATGTAAAATTATTTTTTTCATAATTACTAAGATAAGCTTTTTTTTTTTTTTAACAGGAAAAAATCATTATAAAGTCCTATTATCAATCATAGATGATGGATAAGTAATCCGGATTTTGCATATGTCCAGTTAAGCATAAACCGGATTTGTTTGTTCTCAATCAAATTATATCACTGCTATTGTTTATAAATTTTAATTAACAAAAATTATTTCTTTGTTTACTAATCAAATAATCCTGGTGCAAGTTAGAATAATTATTAGGCAGACAGGTACAATTATGATTATTCGGCAATTAACAATGATAAAAACTTGACTGATCTATCGGAATAACAAAGTAGAGAGAAAATTCTTCAAGTAAAAATTTTACAATTATGACTGAATTAATTTTTTTTTTTTTTTTTTTTTTGTTGCAAAATTTTCTAGACATATGAAAAAAATTTATATTAAAAATATACGAAAAAATTATATAAACTTTAAATTTATATAAATGTAAAATTATGAGAAATTAATGCAACGAATACAATTAATTAGTAATTAATTATTAATTAAATGATTACAGATGAATAGAAATTTGATCCATAATATATTAGAACATTGAAATATGGAATTGATGAAAAATTCTTCAAATAATTAAAGTTTTGTTCTGTAAATTTAAAAAGTTTTATCAAATGGTACGGCAAAAATAATCGTAAAAAAATTAGATTATTTTTTTTTTTTTTTTTATAATTTAATCTCTTTCAAATATAAATTTTAGTGTTAAAAGGCTTCTATTATTTGTCCATAAGAAAAAAAAAAAAAAAAAAAAAAATTTGCCAACAATTTGAAAAAAAAATCCTAACAATTTGTAAAAGTTTTTGTATTTTAAAAACAAGGAAATAAATTGTAGTATTATGAAATTAAATTCTAATTAAGCGTTAGAACTATTAAAAAATAGCAATTCACTAAAAAAAAAAAAATTATTTAGAATTTAATTGATTATTTTATATGCATTGCATGGGATCTGGTCATTTGCGATGTGGTCACTTGACAGCTCAAATTAAAAAAAAGAAGAAACTAAATAATTCACATTTATTTTTAGCAAAAAAAAAAAAAAAATGAGAGGAAAGGAGGTGGAATAAAAAGTTAAATGTATAGTTTGAAGACTAAATAAAATGTGTAATATGTAAATGTAAAGGATTGAAATTCATTCTCGATTTTACTAATTTAAAAAAAAAAAGAAAAATAAAACTATAATAAATCATATTCGTTTTCATTACTTTTAAACAAGAAAATAGAAGCATGGAACAATTAATGAATTAATTAGTTAAGTATTAGTTTATATTATAAAAAAAAATCTTACAAATTTGCATGAATGTAAATGAGTTTAAATTTATAAAATTATCTGCTAATTTTGATAAACAATGTAATATTAGCAATTATATAACCTATAGAAGTGACGAATTACTCCTAGTATATAATCATAGTATTAGTTATCAAAAGTTAGAAAATAGAATTTTAATAAGAAAAATTTAATTATACGAATTATAAATAAAATAAAGCTGTTAACTTTCTAAATTCTAAGAAAGGTCAACTTTTTAAATTTAAAAAAAAAAAATCTCAAACTGGTCACTTTTTAATTAAATTATATCACGCGACTGATATCAGCACATTCGAATACTGTAACTATGTGACAATTTTTGATTGATTGATCGATTGATTAGCACGTTTAACATTTAAAAATAAAGTAATTAATGCACAATGGAAATAAATAAATAATGGAAACTTCCATTGTTTATGGAATACATTTCAAAGATTACTTTTAATATACATATATTTTTTTCAAGTTGATCGATTGATTGATTGATTAGCTGTGTATAAGAAGAGAGATCAATAAAGTAATCAATGCGCAATAAAAATAAATAATGGAATCTTTCATTGTTTATGATCAACGATTACTTTCAAAATATTTTATCTATTTAAGTAATATTGAAATGGTCATGATGATATATGGAATAGAATTACATAAAAAACTTATAACATTGCGTAATTCAGAATTAAATTAATGATATTTTTAATTTAATTTTAATATTTAACAAAGATATTTTCTAATTTAATCTCGATCATATTTAACAAAGGTATTTTCTAATTTAGTTTTGATCATATTTAACAAAGATATTTTACTAATTTAATTTTGATCATATTTGAACAACAAAAATATTTCATGCATTTCTAATTTAGTTTTTAGTGACATTTTTAAAATAGAAATGTCATTATGATTCCTAATATTTGTAATTTTTTTTTACTTTTACTTTTTTTTTTTTTTTTTTGAAATGATAGTCAAAAATGTACGAAATGAAATATACATTAAATTATTGAGAGAAAAATTTTTGAAATTAAAACTAACATTTATTTCTTGCTTTATCAAGATTTCGATTAAAAGCATTTTGCTTTGCTTCTTCCGATATTAACGGATTACGCTCAAAAAATGTTTTTAATTGTTGAAATTCCGCCACATATTCCTTAAAAAAACAAAAAAAAAAAAAAAAAAAAAAATGGGAGAAGAAAAACTATTTCTTAATTTCAAATTTTGGAAAGAAAAATTTTAAATTTTAATCATTTCAAAACATTTTCTTAGTTTCTTATTTTTCTTTTCACTTCAAAAATTTAAATTTCTGTTAAACATTTTTAATAAAATGGTAAATTTTTTTTAAAATTTTTGTGCTAATTTGTGCAAAAATTTAAATTTCATTTGAAGATAAATTTCATTGTGAGAATTTGATCGATAAATGAAATTCACTGCTCTATATTTTGGGATAATTTTGTCGAGAAAATTGACTTAATATTTTAAAAAGCAAGTTTAATTTTAGGAAATTTTACCGATAAATGAGGTGTTATTGTGCCAGGTTCAATAATAAATGAATATTTAACCATTTCAGCCATTGAAGAAGCAAAATTATTTATCCTTTCAAGCATTCGACAATAAAATTCGCTACTCTGTTCGGTCCAATTTGATAATGGATCAGCCTATATGACAATTGATATTTATTTTAATTACAAATTAAAATTTAAAAAAAAAAAAAAAAAAAAAAAAATGGTATAAAAGTTTTATAATCAAAAGAAATAAATGTTGCTTAATTTCAATCATATGCTAAAACATAAATTAATCAACAATTAAACTGTTAGATTTTTCAAAAAAAAAGCAAATTTTTTATTTCTTTTTATGAAATATAATAGCTAAATAAAGAATTATAAAAGCATTTGAAATGTTCGATCACAATTGGCACACATTTAAATTAACTTAAAAATTCCAGTTATGAAGTTATTAAATATTAGAAATTCATAATTTTTATTATATTAAAAGGAAACTTGAAACAATTTAGATGTTTGAATTATTTCATTCTGTTCATCAAAATTTTTAATTTTTTTTTAAATAATAAAATACCTCTTTAAGTGAAGTGAAATCACGCATTAGTTCGTTGATAATTTTTGATGATGGTTGACTTAATTCAGCTGCGACATCATCTAACCAACCAATTAAATTTGCTCTATAAAATAAAAATTTATTTCAAATATAAATTTAATTTCGAAATTTTTGAAATTTGCAAATTTAAATTTGTGTAACTTTTTTTTATTTTTAGCTTACATACCAGATTCTATGCTAATCAGATTATGATTTATGAACTTTTAATTTTTAACTTTTAAATTGTTTACAGCAAAAATTATCTAATTATTAAGCATATAATGATAATCAACCAAGTTTGTTACGTTAATTATCATCACAATTTTGCCTTTTCAAATTTAATTTCAAATATAAATTTATATTTAACTTTAAATTTTTTGAAATTTGTAATTTTAAATTTAATTTAATTTCAAAATGTAGATGTAATTTTACAATAAGTTAGTGTTGTAATAATTTTGATATTGTTTTGTTTGTTTGTTTGTTTGTTTTCTCAAAAAATTGAATAAATATCAACTAAGAAATAATTTACCCATATTTACGTTTCAGGAAATCAGGATCACTTTGCATATGATCCGGTTTAGAATAACTGATGAAATTAAGCGTAATTTAATTTCTTCATCTCTTACAACATCATTCATTTTTTGAATTTTTTGCTTTATAAACGATTGTATTTCATCTATTTTATATTGTTCCTAAAATATTTAACACAATTTGACAATTGTACACGAGAATTTTACAATTTTAAATTTAAAAAAAAAAAAAAAAAAAACTTTTTTTTCAATTCACAAAATTGTTATTTTAAAAAATAACTATATTGAATCTAAGTAAAATTTGATTTAAAAAAATTTTTTTTAAAACATTAAAATTAGCAAGCAAACTTACAAATCGCTGTTTTAAAGCACGAATTTTATATGCTTCATACCAACGCATATAAAATAAACAATTTGAATGTGTATTATCATGAAATTTATTTGCTTCTATTTTCCTTTTCCGTTTACTCCATTTATTTCCGGTTGGTATTATTGAATGAATTTCACCTGGACAGAACCATTCCGAATCTACAAGCGCATCCTGAAAAAAAATTCAAAATTTATAAACGATTTAAAAAAAATACCATATCACAAATTTATTAACTTAAATATAACCTAAAAAAAAACAAGCAAAATGGGTTTTTTGGCTTTTCAAATTCGGAAATTATCATTATGAAATGATTTTAGGTTTAAAATATGTAATATTTTTTGAAAAAAATATAAAGTATGGTATATTTTTCCTTAATTGTAAATTGATAATACTTTAAAATCACACTTAAAACTTAAAATATATTAATTAATTAAATTTATTCATATTTCACTAACATTTAATTCAATGATGCTTGCCAATGATGAAGCATCCACTTCTGAAGCCATCACTGTGACAAGCCTTAAAGGAAAGCTAAATTATTTAATTAATTTTTAATCAGTTAATTAATTATGTAAAAATTTAATTATGAATTTAGCAATTTAACAACAGCTCACAAAGTACAAATTATAATTTCAAATTTTATACTTAATTATGTCATACGCATAAATCTACAACAACAACAAAAATGAATATTTGACAACAAGACAATGACAATTAAATGTAAGCATTGTCAGTTTCTTAATTTCTTAATATTTCTATTTGATATTATTTCTTTTACTAATTTTATTATTATTTATTACATAATTAGTTACTTAAAAATATGTGTTTTTAGTTTTTAATTTTATGAGTTTTCGAAAGTTATTAAAATTTTTAAATCCATAATTTATAGTAATTAGTTTTAATTTTTAACTATTTTAAGTACTTCGTAATAATTAGAAATTTTTCAACAAATTGTAATTTTAAAGCAAAAAAAAAAAAAAAAATTTAACTGCAACTAAATTACTTCTACTCTATGTACTAATTAATTAACAGAACAGAATGTAACTTACATACTTAGGGATTGAATTGAAATAGGATAACATAAATTAATTTTAATTAATTAATTCACTCATTAATTCAAATTAATATAGCAAATAAATATTTGATATTAGAAAAAACAAATTAATTAATCATTTTGACAAATAGTTAGTATAAAATGAGAATTAAGGATTGAAATAATCAACTAACATCAATTTTAATAATAAGTAATGTATATCAATTCAATAAGTAAATATTAAGTAATAAGTAAGAAGTAATTGTGAAAGAAGAAAGTAAGTAATGATTAGATCTACTTGAGCAATAGTAGTAATAATAATAATGTCATTATTGGATCAATAAACTAATATATTTGTATGTGCAAGCAGATATGCAATTGCACTTGCAACTGCAACTGCAGCTGCACATGCGGCTGCAAGAAATATTTGCTCAATAAATGATTGGAAAAAGAAATCAAAATTTTACTTTTAAAATTTTTTATTAAATTTACTAAAATTTTCTTTGTACAACTCAACAAATTTATTAGCAAATATTATTTATCAAATGACAATTTTAAAATATTTTACTAAAAAAGTGTGCAAAAATAAAATAATTCTATCATAAAATTTTATAAAAATTTAACGAAAAAAAGTTATAAAAAAAGTTTCGAACTTTCAGTTTTAAAATTAATACAATTTGAAACTATAATGAAAAAACAGAAATTTCATAGAATTGAGTGTTGTTTGTTTAGATATGATAGAGTTTATGTTATTGTCCTTCTTTTTCTTATTGAAAGTTAAACTTTAAAATTTATTAGTAATTAATTTTTTTTTTACATTGCATTCCACTTATAATATGAAAAATTTTAATTAAAACAATAGCATAATATGGACAGAAATTTTTTTTGTTAAGTAAATAAGTAAATGAGTGAATAAATAAATAAATATTTCTTACTTATTTAATTTTAGAATTTCAAATTAAATATATTTGTATGAAAAATAAAAATTTTTAAAATTATATTGTTTTAATGAACAGAAATTTTTAATGAAAAATGATATAATTTTAGCAACGGACAAATCTTTTTTTTTGTTTTTTTGGGTAGCAGATGGATTAATTCAATGAATTTTTTCCAATAATGACTTATGGTTTAATGAACATGGAGTATCATCATCATCATTCGATGGTTTCAATTTCCTCTGTTACATGTGGCCTCATTGATCATTTTTATTTTTCACCCTTCTTGAACAATTCAAACATTTCATATGATTAATTTCAGGATTTTCTCTTTTCTTCTCTAATTTTCCTCTCTCTTTTTTTTCTTCCTCTTCTTTTTCCCGCTTTTATCACTTTCGTTATTTTTTTCCTCCCCTCTTTTTCCACTTCACTTAATAGCCTTTCTTAAATATCATTTGTAAATTTACAAGTACCACTTCGCTAAGATTACTGTAAGACGATCAATTATTTAAGTATATACAACTATTCACATACTTTTACATCATTTATTCACATTTTATTTGAATATACTTACTTAACACGAATATTTACACCTTTAATTTTCTTTTTTTTTTTTTTTTTTTTTTGCTCTTCCATTTAATATTTTTCCTATTTTCGTTTTTTCTTTCTTTCTTTCTTTATTCTTTTAAAGAAGCATTTTAATTTAAAATTTATTAATGTAATATGTAAGAAACCATAATAATAGCATATCTACTCATATTATTATATTATTAATAATATCTTATTTAATTTTATGAAAAATTTTTTTTTGTTATTCAAAATTTATTAAATTTAGTATGTATTAAGAGTAAAAATAAGAGGATTTTTTTTTCTTGAATATCTCACAATCAGGCATATCTAAATTGATTATCACATCTCAATTAAATTTTTTTGACATAAAAAATTTCATTTAACGAGAAAAAAGTTTTTCCATTTTTCGAATTTGCATTATATCAAAAATTTAATTGGCATGAATTTTTATTTTTATTTATTTATTTTTTATTGTTCAAATGATGAATGAAGCAGTTAGACCCAATGAAAAATGTAATATATTTATGACATAATCAAGTGTGAAATAAATAGATTTTGCGCTGATTGAAAAAAAAAAGATTCATTGTTAATCTGAACTGAAATGAACTATTTACATACATTATCAACGGATAATAATGATAAAAAAAATCTTTTGCATGAGTAATTATTTAACAAATTATTAAAATTTATTCGTTTCTTTTTGTATTCACTTATTCACAAAAAATGTTAACTGAAACTCAATTAAATAATTATTGTTTATACAAAAAAAAAATAAATAAAAAATCTTTTACCATCTTTGAAATAAGGCTTTAAATTAAAATTAATGAAGTAAGTACGCAGTTTTATTGATTTTTTTCATTTCTTTTTTTCTTCCATTCTTGAAAAAAATCAGCTTAAATATGTTAGTTGGAGCAAATATAAAAATATGTAAAAATTTAGCTTAAAAAATGTTTTATTGAAAGGAGAAAATAATCCAAGTTAAAATATGTTGTGAAACTCTTAATTTTTTGTTTCAAAATTAATTTTATTAATTTAAACGACATAAAAACAAGAAAAGCAATATTTAAATACATATTTGTCCTTTTTCTTTTTCTTTTCCTTTCCTTTTTTTTTTAATTTTTGCTTCTCTTTTTTTCTCTCTATAAAAGATGAATCAATTTTTTGATTAGCATTAAAAATTCAATGATACTTGAAAGACATTACTTAGAGCATATTTTTTGATTGTCTCAATTTAAAATTGATTATTGTAAAGTTCAACTGACTAGACGTATTTGAATTCTTAATTTTTGACCTAATTCAAAAAAAAAAAAATGATTTTTTTGTCTTTTCTCTTCATTTCTCCTTCTTTTCCTCTTCTTTTTCCTTTTTTTTTTTTTTTTAAAATTAATCTCGTGAAAAGACCTATTAACTTGCTGCTGCACTTATCATTAAACTCATTTACCAGTACACAATAGATATATGGGGAAAAGAAATGGTGAACAAAGCAATTTATAAATGAAAAAATAAATTTTATTCACTAATTTCAGCTATTACTCTTTCAACTCTTCTTTTTTTCTTCTTTCTTTTATTTTCACCTGATATATTTGTCAACTTTAAGCGAAAAAAAGGAAAAAGAAAAGCTCAAAAATTTTACAAATCTGTTATTTTCTCTCTCTCTCCCTGTCATCAATTCTTTCGCTTGCCTTCTCTTTCATTGTTTTTAATATCTTTAATTAGGATTATTTAATTTTTTACAGTTAAAAGAAAAGAGTGGGAGAGAGGACGAGAGAAGAAAAAATGAATCAAAAATTTTTCTTTATGGGAATTTTGTTTAATTTGACCATAAAAATACTTTCTTTTTCATCTTCTTCTTACATTTATGATGACTTCATCTTTTGTTAATAGACTTATTACAAACTTTCTAAATCATTTTCCCAGCATTCATTTTGAGGGCAGAAAAAGAAATTCAAGAAAAGCAAAAAAAAAAAGTTAAAAGGAAATAAAGTACTTAGATTTATTGCTTTTTTTGTTTTTCGTCATAAATTTGATACATTATTATAGTGGTGACACATTGAAATTGCTATTAGCGAATTAAAAAATCAGTTTGAAAAGATAAGCAAATAGATAAATGAAAGAAAAAAGGAAAAGCAAAAGTGAGTAAATGAAAAGGAAGAAAATATTTCTTCTATAAAAAGTAATAAATTATTTTGAGTCTTCTTTTTTAAATAATAACAAGAACAGTAACAAAAACACTAATAATAATAGCAATAATAATAGTAATAATGATAATAATAATAATAAACTGAATAATTAGATAAATAAATGGTAGTGGTTATTTAAGATATCGGAAAAATGAAAAATGTAAATATTAAAATGGGATTTATTCTTCCCTTTTTCTTTTTTTTTGGTGCACTTTAGTTGCTATTTATATACTTTGCATAATCGAAAATTATCCATTAAAGCCTTTTCAATTTTCAATTTTTCTTTTCATCTATATTTCTGAAAAATAGAACATTCCAATGTACTTTTTTAAAAAATGAACTTTGAAATAATTTAAAAATTTCTTTCCATTGAAAGCTATTTTATTTGCTATTTAATTGCAAATGACACAGTTTAAAAACAAATATTAATAATATTATTATCATTTCCTTCTATTAGAAATATTAAATAAAAGAATGAGAAAACAAAAAACGATCAAAAATTACATAATTAGTAAATGTCAAAATAAATGAATGAAATTAATTTTTATTCATTATTTATTCATTTCTAAAACAACAACAAAAAAATTTTTCTTCTACTACGCTAAATTCAAGCATATTGCTAATGATAATTATTTTTGAAATTGATTATGTTATTAATGGGTGTGTTGAGCTATTACATATTCAACGAATCATTATTTCTGAATATTTTATTCATATTAACTCCATTTCATTTGATCATTTTCTTTTCTCCCTTTTTTTTCTTCTTGTGGAAACGATACATTAACATTAAAAATTCAACGATTTCACATTAGCTTCACTCATTCCTTCCCGTTCTCATGTTCTTATTCATCCCTCACATTTTACTTTTTTCTTTCTTTTTTTTTTTTTTTTTTTTTTTTTTGTTGTTATGTTCATGAAAGAATTTCTTTTTCGTTTTTATTTTTGCAATAAATAAAGTTAATTCTTATTGTACTAAATATAATTAGTTTACTTCATACATGAAAAATAGTTTGCTTTTGTCATATAATGGTAATTGTTAAATGCTTAATGTTTTTTATTGGTATTAATTTAGCACAAATTCTTTTGTTAAATTTTAACTGTTTCACATTTCCTTATTTTTTATGACTTTAAAAGATTTATAAAATGTAAAATTTAATTATCCCTACCTCCTAAATTGAAGTAAAAAAATTTGTTGATGATTAAGAATTATTATTATTATTGATTTCTAACTATTGTTACTATAACTATTATTATTCATGTTAATATTAGCATTAATATTAATTTTATTAGTACTGTTATTGTTATTATTATTTGCTATCACTATTATTATTTCTATTTTAGTAAAGCAGAATTTGACTATTATAACTTGAAGAATGGTTAGAACAATATCAGAACAATGCTAATTCAAAATTAATAATTTGAGAGATGAAATAGCAGTTTTAACTAAAGCTGGATAAGCGATAATAAGTTATTTTCATTATTATTTGACGAACAAGTTTGATTACGAGTAGCAATTAATCCTTTTGTTCTAATTTTTAAACAATCTCATATAAATGTACGAATTTAAAAATTCATATTATAGATCCATGTTAACAATTGATATGTTGTGCAACTAATATTAATTCATAGTTATATCTGTTTTAATGATTAAATTTCGTTTTGAAAATATTTATTAAACGACAATCATTTAAAAACTTCTTTGAATTTTATTTCTTTTTTTGTGTTGAAAAAAATACGACTAAAAAAACTTTTACCCTTTTATCTCAATTCAGTTAACATTTTTTCCGTTCAACAACATTAATTTAAAAAAAAAAAAAAAAAAAAAAAAAAAGACAGGAGGGAACGATTTGAAACTTTTTTTATTGTTCAACTTTTAATTTGTAACATGAAATTTCTATTATTATTTATTTTTTTGTCTTTTTTTTAAAAAAATGGACTAGAAAAAGAAAAAAAAAATTATTTATTTTCCAAATGAAACATAATGCTTATTTCTTCGTTTTTTTTTTTTTTTTTTCCATAATATTAATTATGAAAATAAATTAAGAAAAGAAAGGTAACGAAGAAATCATTATTTTAATTGAATTTTGTTTTATATTTTCTCACAAAAGATTTGATATTTTGGGGAGAAAATAATTGCGCAAAATATAATTTGAAATATTTTTTTTTAAATCCAATTTTTGATGTTTAAAATATAAACGTTATAGAAGAAAAAAGAGCAATAAGGATAATAAAATATTATATATATATTTTTTGAGTATATATGCATGTATGTATTTATGTGTATGTGTGCACTTAAGCGGATTGTTTTTTTTTTTTGAAATTATTTCATATACTTGGTGAAAAATAAAAATGGTCATCAAATGAGATGGTAAATGTATACGTCTTCATATCTGTGTACTAAATGGATCGCTTTTAGATAGTCTATTTATTATTTGCTTCAATCTACTCAAAGAAAAAAAAAAGAAAGTGAAAACGAAATAGTAAGAAAATATAAATAAAAATGCGAGAAAAATGAGGTAAAAAATGAAGGTGAAAAAAAAATAGTAAGGAAAAAAGTTTGTTAAAAATATTAAATAAAATTAAAAAAATTGGTGTTGAAAAAAAAAAAAATGAAAGAAAAAGATTGAAATAAAATGAAAGGATGAAAAAAAACGGAAGAAGAAAAGTGTAAGAGGTATAATTTAAATGATTCATATTTAATTAAGCACATTATCGTAAATTTATCCTAAAATACAATTTTCTAACTCATTTCTTTTTTTAAATTGTCCGCAGTGTGAAACTGTTAACTGTCAATTATCACACTGTTACTATTTGATATAATCATACTCATTTGACAAATGTGATCATTTATTTACATGAGATTTAGTGCGAGCTTCGGATTGCGGTCCTTCAAACTTAAGATCTTTATCATTTCATCTATCGATAACCTTTTCATTTCTTACCTTCATCATTTCTTCCTAGTATTGTCAAATTGAAATTTGAACTTTATTTATTTAGAAGAACAAAAATTACAATAAAAAGAAAGGATCGTTTAAATATGATAGTGATAAGAGCAAATGAAACAGAAATGATATGTTATAATATGAATGTAAAATACGAAGATAAGAATAATAATTATTTGAAAATTACATTAGCTATAATTTATCATATGGAATAAGGCATGACTAGAATTATTTGATAGCTAATTAAATAAATAAATGAATAATTAATTAATATGATATGTAAATAATTTAATAATTGCTATCAGAGATGTAAAAGTGAAACAAAAATAAAATGACGAGAAAAAAGTTATAATTATTAGACAATAATCCTATATGCTAAAAAGAAAAAAAAATGATAATGAGTTTTAATTTGACAAAAGTTGATTAATCAAGCAATTCTTAACTACAATTAATCTTGTTCTTTTTTTAAATAAAAATTTAAAAAAATAGTTAATCATTTCATAATTACTGTTTTATTTTCAAATTTGTTTAAATAAATTTCATTCTTTTAATATGCTACTTAAAATCTCCGGTTTAATTTTTTATATAACGATTGAAATTTAGTGTAAATAAATGCTAAATTAAAATGAAGTGAGGCATCAGTATTTGTTAATTAACCTTCACTAATTAATTTGTTGAATATAACAGCTGATTCGTAGGAAAAGTGAAGTTTGGTACACTTTGTCAGGCCCATTTTCGCAGTTTTGTCAGTTCTTGACATCCCATACCAATCATTTTATATTAAAAAAAATTTGTTAGCACTCAAATAGCAAGCAAACTTACAAATCGCTGTTTTAAAGCACGAATTTTATATGCTTCATACCAACGCATATAAAATAAACAATTTGAATGTGTATTATCATGAAATTTATTTGCTTCTATTTTCCTTTTCCGTTTACTCCATTTATTTCCGGTTGGTATTATTGAATGAATTTCACCTGGAGAGAACCATTCCGAATCTACAAGCGCATCCTGAAAAAAAAATTCAAAATTTGTAAAGAATTAAAAAAACTCCTCATTACAAATTTATCAACTTAAATATAAACTAAAAAAAGCAAGCAAAATGGGTTTGTTTGGCTTTTTCAAATTCGGAAATTATCATTATCATAAAAATAATTCCGGGAATAATTTTAGCTTTAAAATATGTAATATTTTTTGATAAAATTGTAAAATATGTAGTATTTTTAGTTACAATGAATAAATCAATTCGGATTTATGATTATCATAAAATTAATTCCGGAAATGATTATAGGTTTAAAATATGTAATATTTTTTGATAAAATGTGTAAGATATGTAATATCTTTAGTTAGAATGAATAAATCAAAATTACCTTACGATTGTGCAGAAAATATTTTTCCTTACTTATAAATTGATGATAATTTAAAACATAGTAATTAATTAAATTTACTTATATTTCAGTAACATTTAATTCAATACTGCTTGCCAATGATGAAGCATCCACTTCAAAAAAAAAAGCCATCACTGTGACAAGCCTTAAAGAAAAGCTAAATTATTTAATTAAATTTTTTATCAGTTTAATTAATTATGTAAAAATTTAATTATGAATTTAGCAATTTAACAACAGCTCACAAAGTACAAATTATAATTTCAAATTTTATACTTAATTATGTCATACGCATAAATCTACAACAACAACAAAAATGAATATGTGACAACAAGACAATGACAACTAAATGTAAGCATTGTCAGTTTCTTAAATTCTTAATATTTCTATTTGATATTATTCCTTTTAATAATTTCATTATTATTTATTACATAATTAGTTACTTAAAAATATGTGTTTTTTAGTTTTTAATTTTATGAGTTTTCAAAAGTTATCAAAATTTTTTAAATCCATAATTTTTAGTTTTAATTTTTAAGTACATAGTAATAATTAGAAATTTTTTCGACAAATTGTAATTTTAAAGCAAAAAAAAAATAAAAAAAAAATTTAACTGCAACTAAATTACTTCCACTCTATGTACTAATTAATTAACAAAACAGAATGTAACTTACATACTTAAGGATTGAATTGAAATAGGATAACATTAATTAATTTTAATTAATTAATTCATTCATTCATTGATAACTAATGTTGTACCTCTGTTACAAGTTTAATTTAAATTAATATAGCAAATAAATATTTGATATTAGAAAAAAACAAATTAATTAATCATTTTGACAAATAGCTAGTATAAAATGAGAATTAAGGATTGAAATAATCAACTAACATCAATTTTAATAATAAGTAATGTATGTCAATTCAATAAGTAAATATTAAGTAATAAGTAAGAAGTAATTGTGAAAGAAGAAAGTAAATAATGATTAGATCTACTTGAGCAATAGTAGTAATAATAATAATGTCATTATTGGATCAATAAACTAATATATTTGTATGTGCAAGCAGATATGCAATTGCACTTGCAACTGCAACTGCAGCTGCACATGCGGCTGCAAGAAATATTTGCTCAATAAATGATTGGAAAAAGTAATCAAAATTTTACTTTTAAAATTTTTTATTAAATTTACTAAAATTTTCTTTGTACAACTCAACAAATTTATTAGCAAATATTATTTATCAAATGACAATTTTAAAATATTTTACTAAAAAAGTGTGCAAAAATAAAAATAATTCTATCATAAAATTTTATAAAAAATTAACAACAAAAAAAAGTTATAAAAAATTTTTGAACTTTTCAGTTTTAAAATTAATACAATTAATTAATTTCATATATTTTTATTTTTGAAAATATAATGAAATAACAGAAATTTCATAGAATTGAATGTTTGTTTTGTTTAGAAATGATAGAGTTTATATTATTTTCCTTTATTTTTTATTGAAAGTTAAACTTTAAAATTTATTAATAATTAATTTCTTGTTATAAATAACATTTAAATAAACAAAAAATTAAAAAAAAAAAATTACGAGAAAAAAGGAGTTATAGAAATTTTAGACATTTTTTCATTTATTTTCATGAAAAAAAAAAATAAAATATAATTTAATACAATAAAAATATATAATAAAATAAAAATGCAATTTTTAGCATATTACAATAAATTATATTTTTATTGTTATTTTTCATGAAAATAAAATGAAAATCTGAAATAAATATTAATTAGTAGCATAAGTGATAATTGAATATTTAATTCACTATCAATTAACAAATAGCAAATTTGCCTTTTCAAAATGATATTTTAATTTTTCTTAATTTCTTAATATTTCTATTTGATATTATTTCTTTTACTAATTTTATTATTATTTATTACATAATTAGTTACTTAAAAATATGTGTTTTTTAGTTCTTAATTTTATGAGTTTTCAAAAGTTATCAAAATTTTTTAAATCCATAATTTTTAGTTTTAATTTTTTAAGTACTTAGTAATAATTAGAAATTTTTTCGACAAATTGTAATTTTAAAGCAAAAAAAAAAAAAAAAAAATTTAACTGCAACTAAATTACTTCTACTCTATGTACTAATTAATTAACAAAACAGAATGTAACTTACATACTTAGGGATTGAATTGAAATAGGATAACATAAATTAATTTTAATTAATTAATTCATTCATTAATTTAAATTAATATAGCAAATAAATATTTGATATTAGAAAAAAAACAAATTAATTAATCATTTTGACAAATAGTTAGTATAAAATGAGAATTAAGGATTGAAATAATCAACTAACATCAATTTTAATAATAAGTAATGTATATCAATATAATAAGTAAATATTAAGTAATAATTAATTGTGAAAGAAGAAAGTAAGTAATGATTAGATCTGCTTGAGCAATAGTAGTAATAACAATAATAATGTCAAGAATTATTGGATCAATTAAACTAATATATTTATATGTGCAAGCAGATATGCAATTGCAGCTGCAAGTGCGGCTGCAAAAAATATTTGCTCAATAAATGAAAAAGAAATCAAAATTTTACTTTTAAAATTTTTTATTAAACTTACTAAAATTTTCTTTGTACAACTCAACAAATTTATTAGCAAATATTATTTATCAAATGACAATTTTAAAATATTTTACTAAAAAAGTGTGCAAAAATAAAATAATTCTATCATAAAATTTTATAAAAATTTAACGAAAAAAAGTTATAAAAAAAGTTTCGAACTTTCAGTTTTGAAATTAATACAACTAATTAATTTCATATATTTTTATTTTTGAAACTATAATGATATAACAGAAATTTCATAGAATTGAACAGAATTTCATTCATTTTCATGAAAAAAAAAAATAAAATATAATTTAATACAATAAAAATATATAATAAAATATTGTCCTGTCCATAATTTTTAACATATTACAATAAATTATGTTTTTATTGCTATTTTTCATGAAAATAAAATGAAAATCTAGCAAATTTGCTGTTTCAAAATGATTTTTTTAATTTTTAAAATTTACAATTCCACCTTTTTTTCTTTAAAAATTTTATCGAAGATTTTTTCATAATTTTAAGATAAAAATAAATTTTTTTGAAGAAAATTTTTACAATAATCATTCTAAATTGGCATTTTCTGAGATTTACAATTGAGAATTAAAACTTAACAAAAATTAAAAACAAAATTAAAACTTAAAATTAAAGTTGGAAATTAAAATTTCCGTTAATTGCCCATCGAAATAAAAAAAAAAATTTCCTCCCTTGTAATTCAATTTTTCGATGATAATTTAATTTTATTAAACAAGTAAAAAACACTGCAATTAATTTAAGCAAAAAAAAAAAAAGAATAAAATGGAGATTTAATCAAAATTTAAATTAAAATTTAAACCTGAGAAAAAAAACTAAGATATTTATGAATTTTGAAAAGTAAATCAAACAAACATGTATTAACTGAATTAGATGAAAAATAAATAAAAATTATATTATTAAATTCTTTTACATTTAAATTTCTCAAACAAATTATTGAACTATTTTTTTTCTTTTGTTTTTTATAATTTAATCTCTTTTAGATTTAAATTTTAGTGTTGAAAGGCTCCTATTGTTTGTCCATAAAAAAAAATTTGCCACATATGCTATCGATTCAATGACAATCGAAAAAATTGTTATTAATTTTTTGCGCCTAAAAATTACTAAAATGATGGTGTGATGAAGTTTTTTGTGAAAATTTCAAATTCAGAAATGTTCGGTCAGGATGGCTCGTATTCTAGTTAGGAACACATCATACACTAAAAATTTTCAGCACCTGAAATTTCATATTTCAAACGTATAAGCGATAATCGCAAATCGTCTCCAAACCGGAATTTCAAATTTTGAATTTGGTTCACGTTACAAAATAATTCACAAAATAGTTGTTTTTTAAATTAACTATTTTGTGAATTGAAAAAAAAATTTTTTTTTTTAAGAATTTGAAATTGCAAAATTTTTGTGCACAATTGTGAATTTATGTTAATTCATTTTCATATTTTAGGAACAATATAAAATAGATGAAATACAATCGTTTATAAAGCAAAAAATTCAAAAAATAAATGATGTTGTAAGAGATGAAGAAATTAAATTACGCTTAATTTCATCAGTTATTCTAAAACCGGATCATATGCAAAGTGATCCTGATTTCCTGAAACGTAAATATGGGTAAATTATTTCTTAGTTGATATTTATTCAATTTTTTGAGAAAAAAAAAAAAAAAAAAAAAAAAAAACGAACAAACAAACAAACAACAAAATTATTTTCAAATTAAATTCTTGAAATTAAATTTTTTGAAATTAAATTAAAAGAAGTGTTATTATATAACATTTCAAGAATATAAACAAAAGAGCTATTTTCTTTAGACTCACTAGAATAGCTAATCAGTAAATCTCTCCATTTGCTATGTTTTTCATATATTGCTTAACCCCTACAAAAGGGTTCGGTCGATAGAAAAGACATTAGCTCTGTACTGAGAGAGTTGAGTATTGGTCAGAGAGAAGAGAAGAAACATTAAGGATTACAAAAAGATTTAGCAAGAGTAGTTAATAGAATTAGAAAAGACAAAAATATCTACATAATGCTGGATAACCTTGATATATTCTATCATAAATGTATTGTTAATTTACTGGAATCTATAAAGCACACAGAGAGATGGTCTCATTCCCATTGATTTCTGTCAGTAGAGATAAGAGTAATGTTAACATAATACTTGTGTAAAATTTTGATCTGAGATCTTTATTGATCTCTTCTTTACACTTACAATACGATAAATTTTTTTTTTCCTTTCTATATATATACATATAACTTATATGTCAAAGAACTTTCTGTTACATTCTACAAGAATAATAGTTGGGCAGTAGCAATCCCATGATCATGCCCTTCTCTTTTGTGATTTTATTTGCACATATTCTTCTTTTCATTCTTATTGTTTTTCTTGTACAATTTGGCTTGATTTAAAGGATCTTTCGTTTTTTTTTTTTTTTTTTTTTTGTTTTTAATAGCTTTATTGCGAACTAATATCTATTAAATATTTTTCTAGTTGAACAAAGGAATCAAAAAATCTT